TCGAGTAGGTATCTTCTAGTTATATTCTCCATATTAACACCTACCTCTCCCTTTCTTTACAGCTGGCGGTGCATACGTCTGCCACATCTGCGGCTCCGCCTACAGCTATCGCCGTGGTCTTCTACAACACATGCAGCGTCACACTGGAGGAACAACATGTCCAGTATGTCACCAGATCCTGGCCATGCCGCACATCCTGAGGAAGCACCTGACGAGAATGCATGGGATGACGAAGGATGAAGTGGATCGCTTGACGAAGACGAGGGGCCATGCGCAGAATCTGGCGGCGTATGTTGCGGGATTGCAGACTCAGTCTGAACCGGGCTTTCAGGCTCGGTCTGAACCAGGCTCTCAGACTCAGTCTGAACCAGGCTTTCAGGCTCAGTCTGACCCGAGTTTGCAGACTCAGTCGGGATGGGAAGCTGGTTCGCAGTTTTCTGAGAAGAACAGTTGAATCTGAGTGGATCGTCGGAAAGGGGAATCTACCACTGATTGGGCCTTCGCCGATGTGGATGCTCGAGTTTCGGATGTCTTCTCAGAAGGTCTGATGAGAGCTATGTGGGGAACGCAGCGATTCCAGAAATTGTCATCTTGATTGGTTGGTTACACTTGCTAGTGATTTCCCGTCGCTGAACACAAGCTACGGCTATTCGTGGTAGCGTCCGTCCGTTTCTTAACCCGCGCGGGGCTGGGGTCTCCAGCCGAACGCGCGGGGCTGGGGGGGGGGGTAAATTTTACCCCCCCCCCTGTTATCTCCCGAACTAATGGTCCGATTTGGAAAATTCAAACGCCAATCGAAAGCTCTCATCACGAACTACTAAAAACATGTACTTAATTTAAAGTTTGAGGTCAAGGTCAAGGTCAGGTCAAGGGTACAAATTGCAAGTTTCTACAGTATCGGCCTTGCACCGTAGTTGCCGAAGAATGGAGTCATGGACTGAGACTGATCGCCCAAAACGTGTTCTTAGGCTACCAAGACAATATTCGTTGCATACAATATCATTCAGAGGTCAAGGTCAAGGTCAGGTCAGGTCAGGTCAGGTCACCAAAAAACAAAATATAGAAAAGGGCATGTGCGACACATGTTTTATGGGTCATTTTACTCATAGAATTCAATAGGCACACTCAATAAGTGATATGGACCACCTCTGGATGAATTTCAGGTCGAGGTCAGGTCAAGGTCAGGTCAAGTGAGGTCAAATTTTGAAGTTGGTTGTTAAGGCCTAAAAAGGTGTCTATCTGATGCAGTTTTCACGGCGAATCGAATGGTGCTATTTTTGTTTCCGTACGAGGTCTAGAACTTCCAAAAAAGTCATTTTTCAAAAATTTTGTGTGTCGTGACGTCATATAATTTTGAATAACTCCCACATTTTTGAACGGATTCTTCTAAAATTTGGTATGTAGATGCACATAGACCACTTCTCTGACATATATTCCGGTTTTTTCGATAGACTCAAAATTTTGGATTTTATAATGATTTTCCCAAAAAAATCAGTTTTTTGAAAAAAAAAAAAATTAGGTCAAAAAACAAAATTTTCAAAAAACCGAGATAGCCATTTGATAGACAAAGTAAAATTACGCATAACCTTTTTTGTTACGTCTTGATTCCTTTAAAAATGAAGATGTTAGCGCCGTTTGAACTTTTGCCGTTTTTGAGGCGAAAATGGCGAACATGACGTCACTAAAACGTCAATTTCTCAAAAAATTTCCGACGGATTTCGCTCAAATTTTCAGGGAACGTGTCAAATTGATGTAAGAAAAGGTACTGAAAGTTTGGCGGCGCTGCGCGCCGCCGTTTTTGAGATATCGCAAAAATTCGCGAGGGGGGGGGGGGTAAAATTTACCCCCCCCCCCAGCCCCGCGCGGGTTAAATGTAGTTTTCTCTTGTATTATTTAAGCTTCTTATTCGTTTCAGTATCTGGCGTCATGTTGATCGATTTCTTGGATATCGTTTTTCTTTTAATGATGGTATGTAAATAAATTGAGCACTGAAAACCCTTTTTCTTTAGGAGAAGTCTGGAGTGACACATTTGTAGATTAGCTGTAAACCTACGCCGACCGAGGTAAAACAAGAAGAGCAATGGGATTAGCTTTTAGCGATTAAAAGCTTTCTGGTCCCTAAAACCTTCAATAATTACTTTTCCATTAAATATTGTGAAGGAATTTCGTGTTTGGTACACAATTTGGAATAATTGCTCCAATTAGCTGGCTTTCCCATGAATTTCCCACGCCTTTTCACATACCCACCAATCTGCATTTCCTATCAATGCCACACTGAACTGTGTTTCGAATTATGGTTCCATCATTTCCATGCCTTCAACATTCTCTCACACCACTATTCTCACCACTATTCTTCCCGCTCATCTCACACCCCTCCCGTCTTTTTCAGCTGGTGGCTCCTGTACCTGCCCAGTCTGTGGCCTGTCATACGCCTATCGAAGAAGTCTCACAGAACACATGAAGAAGCACTCGGGTCAAACAACATGTCCAATCTGCGGCCAGACGTTCGCCCTCGTCTACTTTATGCGGAAGCACATGGAGAAAAAACATGGGATGACGAGAGAGGAGGTCGACAATTTGACGAAGCGGAGGAGTTATTACTACCCCTCGCAGAAGTAGAGTTTGGTGGAATTCTTTGAAAAGAAGTGGGGTGCGGTGGTGTTCTTTGATCAGAATTAGAGCTTGGGTAGATAGAAGTGTTGTATCTAAGATCTGTATCTAAGTATGAGATCGGTAGCTAGTGGTGTGAGGTATCTGTAAAACGTGATCTTAGGGACTACTATCCAGCGCAGAAGTGGAGTTTGGTGGAGTTTTCCGAGGAGAGGTAGGGTCTGGCAGCTGATGATGTGGGATATAAGATCTGTGCAGTGGACCTTGTTAGCTAGCGGTAGCGGTATGAGTTCTCTAAGCATAAGAAGTGGTGTGAGTTCTCTAAGCGTAAGTAAAGGCTAGGTAGGTAAGGTCGGTAGCGTTGTGAGCTATGCAGTTGAGTTGTGTAGCTAGAGATGGGAGTTCTATGCGCATATAAGTAGACCGTTAGTAGGATCTACCCAGTAACGCCAACATTGCTATTTGAACTGTGACCACACATCACTGAGGATCTACGGATCGTAAAGGACCTATGGATCACATATGATCTACAGATTATAGGATCTAAACACAGAGGGTCTACACTCAGAGGATCTACGGATCTTGGTCACCAACGATAACTCTGTGAGGGTCTCGTATGTGTCTATCTCTGATGCAGTGATGAGTGATCTGAGAAGTGAGAGACTGCGAGAAATAATTTTCATTGATCTATAGTTAACCTTGGTGGTGTTGTCATTTTCATAGCCTGTAGCATGTCCTCCAGAAGGTACTCAGTGTCTTCTCCATCGTGTTTTACCGTTCCGTCCTTTGACTGTTCTTCGTTAACCTTGAGCGTGTTTTTTTTGTGCATGTTTTCATGGCTTTTATATATGCCAGCTGGTTGAAGAATTGTCAATAAATCAGCTTGTTGACGTCTTGTTTTGATTTTCTCGCGTTCAAGGTACAATATTAGACTCTGGCCTTTTACACTCTGAAATAATTTTATATCGAAAATAGTATCAAGTACGTAAGCTGCAGGCCTCAAAAGGTTTTAGCCGAAGTGCGTTTTCCTTGCTTCAACCAACAAGTGAGTGTTGGACCTTTGTCCCGCTCGGTGTCTCAGGTTATTAAGGTATAGCATACCTAATCGCATACCCACTCTCAAAGCATTTGTGTTGCAGAGCATGCAATGTCTTGCTCCAACGTCTCCCTTTGTTCCGCAAATCCCTTTGTATGACATCCGAACATCATAAACACACATGCTTTCACGTGCCCCAATGGCTAACACACCTCTTTCTGTTTTTTCAGATATCGGTCCTTTCCAGTGCTCCTTCTGCGGACTCCAATACAGTCGTCGACGAAACTTCACCGAACATTTAAAGAAACATACTGGTGCAACCACGTGCTCAATATGCAACCAGTCCTTCGCCAGGACGTACAACTTGCGCTTGCACATGGCGAAGACACATGGTCTGGCGAGAGAAGAGGTTGACAAGATGACCAACAAGAGGCCTTATATGCAGAACACGAGTTCTTCCGTCGTCAACTACGGCGTGCCCGGTGGATCTTCGGCATATTCAGAAGCTTTGGAAGCTTCAGAGACTATGGAGGATTCGGTATCTTCTCGGAGGTTTACATCATAAGCAGGTGCGACGTTTGTTTGCGGTTCCTGCTGTGCCCTGTGGTAGAGTTTTGTGATGGTGATTGTGGGAAAATACGTCTTATGCTGTTTATCGTTCCGGCTATGTCGTATCTGATTTTGTTGTAGCCTTCAGTCAATTGGATTATGAAATCATTGAATTCGGATATTGCATTTGAACTGGGAATTGAACCGCAAAGCTCTTTATTTTGCCGCCTAATATCTTACAACGAAGCAATAATAAACAACCCAGTTGAGACGAACTTTGAACGTTGACGGTGATGTCATCGATCCATCACCTGAACTGAATTAAAGGTCGTTTAGCTTAATGAGGTTATGAGGAGGAATGGAATGGTTTATGAAGAGAGCATTACAAGCAAGAATGTTGCAAACACGTTGAGTAAAACACGAAATTAGCTATCTTATGTTGTTCTGAGGAGAGCATATGAAATATATGAAACATATGAACATATGAAAATGTTTCCACAGGCATGGGGTATATTGATGCCTTTGACCTTTCCCTTTGTCATAGCAGTCGCCTAATGCGACAACGCTAATTCTTCGTTTCATGTTCATAGCACACCTCTCCACCTCTCCCTGTGTTTCAGCCGTTGATCCTCTGATTATCTACCGCCATTCTCCGTCCCGCAGCTCTAACCTATATCCACTACCTCCCGTTATTCGACGCTCCTTGCCTGTAACGCTCACACTTCTGTGTTCCAGCCTTACTCAACTGAGTAATCTACGAATGATCTTCCCTTCTCTAACGGATATCCCTTTCTCTCTGTTTCAGCTTCTTTCCGCTGTACAATCTGCGGAGTCACCTACTGCCACCGGCGCAACCTCACCGAGCATCTCAAGAAGCACTCCGGGAAGACCAAGTGTCCAATCTGTCTTCAGACGTTCGCCATGATCTGTGTCCTAAGGAGACACATGGTCAGGAAGCATGGTCTGGCGAGAGAGGAGGTGGACAGGATTACCAACAAGAGGACGTATCCTCAGAATCTGAACATGTTTCCCTATGGAGGAGTGGGAGAGCTAGGGGTTCATGGTGTGGTTGGTGGGGCTGTAGCTGCTGGTATGCTGTCTGCGAGTCAGGGTGTGGTAGGTGGTGATACAGGCTCTGCTGGTTTGAATACTGCGAGTTGGGGTGTTGGAGCTGGTGCTTTAGGTGCTGGTAGTTCAGGTACAGGAGAGACAGAAGTGGCATCGTATGATGCTGCTGTCGCTTCCTCTTCGGGAGGTTCAATGCATGTGGCGGAGTCGTCAGAGACATCCTAACCGCCTCCAGAGCCCTAAATCTCTGGTGTATTGAACTCCTCTCTGGAAGCCCCGATTCCTCTGTGTCTTGCCTTTTCTATCCTGGCGTAGTCCTCCTATCCAACGATCTCCAAAACACGATGCTTTTGATCTTCTAGCTACATATTCTTCGCCGCCTTTTGTGACCTCGCAGACTTATTCATCGTTTTTAAAAGTGTCTTGCAAATTATATCATCGTCTTCGTTCACCGGTATCACGTCACAGGCTACCGCTTCTTAAGAAACCCCGCTGTCTCTCACTTTTTACACTCATTCGCCTCTTCATCACTCCTTTACTCATCTTCCTGGACTTAGCCTCACTGTGCTTCCTTTCCTTGGTTTCTCCTTACCTAGATCATCTGTCTTAACTCATGTATTATTTGTTCCTTTCTGAAGGGCCCTTGGCTCCACCCCATACCCAGCGAGTACCTTAGCAGTAAACGCTGCTCGCTGAAAGTGCGCTGTTCGTATGCAACGGGAGTACATGATTTCCACGGTGTCCTAAGCGCTGGATTCGAGAAAACTACGTAGTAACAGGAGTGTTCCTGTTTGTAATCTTACGGTGTGTTGCATCATAAGTTGTTCATTAGTCCAAGAGTGTAAAGACTTATGCACTAGGGGTGTATAGTGAAGAAGATATAACTACTAAAAGCGGTTGTTATGAAATCAGGGGACGGTGGTTAGCATGGAGGGCAAGGGAGGTGTGATCGTGATGGATGACAGTAGAAGTTCTTGGTCTTTTCTTCGTGTTGACAGGGGCTGTTTTCTGTTATTGAATCGGTTACTAGTTTCCTGTTGGTTTTGTCCACAATCTCTTCTTTTTTCCTTACCTAGTAGGTCTGCAAGCTGATGTGTAAGTTCCTTCTTTGTTTGTGTTTGTTAGCCTGGTAGTGTGCATAGGGACTGTAGTTTCGCCGCATTTTCTAGCACCTGTATGCCAACGATATCACGGCTTGGCATCATATAATCCCGAAATGATTCAGATTGTCTTAATTAAATAAATCACATCGTTTTGACGTCTTTTTTTGGTGTAGCAGCAAGATAAATACGTATGGATGAAAGCGTGGTGGAGCAACGCTGTCTTCTAAGACATAAGTGACACAAATACTACACTTTTGACCAAACGGCTACTTTTCCTTTCATCAATAGGAATCCAAGTACCTTTATGTGCCTACTTTTCAAAAAACGTTGTCGTTCTTTATAGTGAGGGATTCGGGATACGCGCGATTGATTCCCATGAAAAGGAAAAAAGCAAAAGCAGCAAATTCGTTACGATTGAAAGTGCCGGTAGATAGACGAAGGCGCCGAGCTGATAAATACAGTTCGTACCCCAAAATCCACAAACATACTGGTCTTATAAACCAAGATCATTCTCATCGTCATCGGTGACAATAAACCCTACCAGATCCCTACGCTCCATAACACCTCTTTTTTTTCTCTTTTTCAGGCACTGGGACATTCTCGTGCCACATTTGTGGCCGGACCTACAGCCAACGCTGTACTCTCACCGAACACTTGAAGAAGCACACGGGGCAGACCAAATGTAAAATCTGCCATCAAACGCTCTCCACAGTTTGCCTTATGAGAAAACATATGGTCAAGGCGCACAAGATGAGTAGGGAAGAGGTGGATAAATTGACGAACAAGAGGACCTACTCGCAGAGTCATGAGTGGGCAGAGGCTTTTAGATCTACATATGCTCAGCGTCAGCAGTCGTCTGGACGGAGTGTGGCGGATGAGACTTCTACGGGAGAGGGAGGGAGTTCGTAAAGAGATGGAGGAGAGAGAGAGAGAGAGACAGACAGACAGACAGACAGACAGACAGACAGACAGACAGACAGAGAGGGAGAGGGTGGGAGACAGAGAGAGTGAGAAAGAGAGAGAGAGAGAGAGAGAAGAGAGAGAAAGGATGAGAGAGAGAGAGAGAGAGAGAGCGAGAGAGAGAGAGAGAGAGAGAGAGAGAGAGAGAGAGAGAGGAGAGAGAGAGAGAGAGAGAGAGAGAGAGAGAGAGAGAAAGAAAGTTGAGAGAGAGTTGAGAGCTACAGGGAGACAGACAGGGACATTCAGGGCTTCGGGTTTTAATTTTGGTGACTGACTGTCCTTGGGCTTCCGGTGTTCGTTCAAGAATTCAACTATATTTTCGGCACTTTTTCTCAATGTCGCCTCTTGTAGCGCAACGCAGTCTGTCTTCATCCATATGTGTAGGTTTTCTGTTTTGCTTTGTTCGATTTTTGTTGAGGCTACCGTTGTACATATTCGCTGCCGATATCACCTGTGTCCTCTGGTCACTCACGTTTTGAGAAGCGCAAACGTTGGTTTTTATCCACGTTTGGGGTACTTGTTTTCATCGCTTTTCAGTTGTGTTACCGTTCTGGTTCAATTCGTTTCAAACTTTAAGCGCGGATAAGGATGATGATTCGCATACAGGCGAGTGGTAATGTAGTTAACGGATTGCGGTAATGCAGTTAACAGATTGCGATAATGTAGTTAACGGAGTAAACGATATCGAAGAAAGTGGACGTAAAAGTGTGAGATAAGCTGTATGGCTACAGGCGTTGCTTGTGCACTGTGCAGCTCTTGTGAACTCCATAGGTGGACTGTACATTCTACCTGCAGTGGCTGCCTAACTCGCCGGGCAAGCAGTCGGACTTTTGTGTGCTTCTTTTTCATGTTAACGTTCTTTGTAGTTACCCTCGAGTGATTGTGCTTATGTTTTGATGAGGGCCGGTTGAAACTGGTTATCTTTCTGTGTAGCGCTAGTGTTATTTTTAGGTGTTGCAAAACTGTTCTGGTGTAATGATGACTTAGTGGGACATGTTTGTAATAAAACACACCTTTTTGTCAGGCTTTTTCAAGAAACACAAATATTGTTGATTTAGTTTATAGCTTTGCCAAAGTTAGACCCCCTAATGAAAAGGTGGAATATGGAATCAAAATTGAAAAAAGTGAAGATCGAAGACATAGCGCTGAGTTGCAGAGCTGTGGGGGGGGGGGGCGACTGCAATATCAGAACCAGCAATGAATAGGCACGGTATGTGATCAGTAAATACAGTAATAGTACTTTATGCGACCTTCACCTCGTTTAAATGTATTTTATGTCTCGCTCGACTTGTTTAAGCACGAGTTTATAAATGAACGAGTGAAACGAGTTCATTTATAAACGAGTGCTTAAACAAGTCGAGCGTGACATAACATACATTTCAACGAGGAAAGGTCGCATAAAAGATATTTAAATGATTTTTCCCGCCGATACGTCAATAAAGTCTTACTATCTTTGAAAAATAGTTGTGCAGGTGCAGCGGATCGGTACAAAAGGAAGAATAACATTGTTAGTAAATGAAAAAACAAAGAACTTATAATGTAAGACGAAAACCATACAATTTTCCATCCTCTTCCTTCCCCTCACACTTGGGGAAAATGTGGGAAACCGGGGTTATGGGTGGGGGGACATTTATACACATGTGCTGAATAGGAGCCGCAATTCCATCAGCATATAACCATCCATTTCTGTGTGCTCCTTGTGTCAAGTACGAATGCAAACACGGTCAAATACTTGACATATCACAGAGGACTCGGATAGGACTCGGAGATGGTGATAATTTAATAGTCAATGATTATATTCGTGTCACCCGACTGTTGTAGGACACTGTCCAGTGTCCATTGTTCCTTGGTCGGCATTTTGCTCTAAACGAAGCAGCTGTCCTTAATTTATTTGAGAAGATATATGGTTTGCGGATGCATTTGTCACCCACTTCCTCATAACAGGGAGCATAAGGCACGGTACAAAATATTATCAGAGTTTTGGAGCGTGCCTGCTAAAATACGCAATTGGTAGGGCTGTTTAAATGCCATCACCGGCAGAACTGGTCAATTCGTCAATATGTTTTTTTAAAAAAACTTTCTTTTGATCGATGTGCACGAATTTTCTTGTGATACCTATCAGCAATGAGCAAAGACATCCAATATCACTTTAAGTCAGTGGTCTATAAAGGTGATATAAAACAATATTATTACCTATACAATATACAGCTATGATAAGGCCATATCTGAATCTATACCAGGGGTCAATAAACCCAAAGTCGTTTGAATAATTACGGAGCGAGCGAAGCGAGCGGAGTCTTACGTAGAATAACGGAAATTTCTGAGTATGAGCGGCCGGCCGGCCGGCCGGCCGTGCGGACGCTTTTGCGAGGCTTATATCTCAGCAACCACTTGACCGATTTACACGCGGTAATTTTTATAGGGTAGCTTCATTCCTTCTACCAAGTATTGGACTATTCCCGATGCATGTGAGTGACCCCTTATGCACGTGCCACGTGCAAAACGAAGAGGTGTCAGTTTTGCAATTGTTGCAATATTTCGGTAACTACTTGGCCGATTGCGCTGAAAGTTGGCATGTAGGTAGGCACCCACTAGGCACTGCATATCCATGTGCCAGAGTTGGTGTGCTGCTGCGCGTGCGCACGTGCAGGGGTCGTTTCCAGATCTCGAGAACGGCTGGACCGATTGCGCTCAAATTTGGTACACGGTTAGGGACCGGTTAGTAGGGTGCCGTGCAAAAGCCAGTCGGGACCCATTTTGCACGTGCGCACGTGCAGGGTGCCGCTCCCAGATCTCGAGAACGGCTGGGCCGATTGTGCTCAAATTTGGCAAATCGCTAGGGACCGGTTAGTAGGGTGCCGTACATTAGTCAGTTGGAGGTACCCCCTCGCAATTTCGCACGTGCAAGGCCCACCCTCTCGCTCGCTCCGTTAGTCGCCCCATAAGGCGTTATACTGGTATTTAATGCACTAGTGCATAAATATTCAACATTGCTTCAGCATTGCATGACCTTATTTATCATCTGGCGCCTCCGATTTCAAAGGATTTTCTTCAACATTGTCGAGGCGGGAAAAGTCATTTAAATTGGTCTTCAACCAATGTAAATCTGGCACAGCTGATCAATGGATCGCTTATGACTTCAATTGCAATAATTGTGATGGTAACAGGATTTGCTTGGAAAGGACGACATTTTGATTCAGTCTTGATTAGTATGCCAGACACCATCACAGGGTTAAATACAGGGGCGCGGGAACTACTTTCCGACTGGGGGGGCACACCATAATAGAGATCAACCTAGGGTACCCCCAAATCTAGTTTTCTCACCGGTTTTAGGCCACTTATTTTTCACCCCTCGGCTTTTTCAACAGAAAAAGAAAACATTTGCAAAAAAGTGTGGTATTCCGTCTCAAAGCTGTGGGGGCACCGCTCCCACGGCCCCAGAGTTGGGGGGGCAAGCTGCCCCCACTGCCCCCCCGGCTCCCGCGCCTATGGTTAAATATATTTGATAACTGCTCAGCATTGTGCTCCTATCCTTTATCGCCGGGCTGTTTTATGACTTATTCCTCGTCCTTACCTTGTTAGAAGTCTTAAAACGAGCTACGTTCTCATTAGGTTTTCAGTACATATAGTTACTAGCTCTTGTCCTAGCTACACCTCTTAGCTCTCTACCTCATCTAATATGGATATCTATTGCCAAAGTTAGAATGTCTGTTAGGCAACCGAAACCAAACCAAATAATAACAAGTTGATAACAATCAAAACCATGATATAATAAAGTGTAGAAAAAAACGAGTTGCGATTTAACGATAGGGCTCTCCTAACGAATCTTCATGTTCTCTTCTCAATCCTTTTTTCTTGAATACACACACTCATTCAACCTCATGCTACACTCCCTGAGCCCTGGGCCTTGGACCCTATTCCTTATTTTCCTTCACATCCGCCAGAGCTTACTCCATCTTCAGAAGTTGTTCTATACAAGTCCTTTTTCGCAGCGGTACCAACTAATTATAGCTAACTGTTCTCCCCACTAACGTGCCTCCTTTCTCTGTCCACAGCTGGCGGACCCCACTACTGCTTTATCTGCGGTAAGAGTTATTCCTTTCGAAAAAGTCTAACTGAGCACCTCAAGAGTCACTCTGGAAGAACCGTCTGTCCCATCTGCCACAAGAACTTTGCGATGCTCTATCATCTGC